GGCAGCTCCTGCAGCCGCCCCCAGAGAGCCGTCACCCAGATGAGACAGGAATGTGTCATACCCATCCGAGGGTACGATTCAAGTGAAATTGAAATTAATGTTTTGAATGAAGTTCTTTTAAATGTCACAATACCTATAGAAAATGTGAGGCCTTTTCCTGCAAATTCTCTTCGTAAATCAGCTACAAATTTCTCTCTTATGCCTTCTTTCTGTTTAAAAAAACAAACCAAACCAAACATCAGTTACGTGCTGTGTCAATTCACCAATAAAAAGATAACCCCCAACCCCACCCCAAATCCAAATGTCTGGGTACCAGGACTAGAGGGATATAGGTACATTTCATTAGCACTGACAGCATGCTGAGAATGTTTCCACTTTAATCTGTTACCAACCTGTAAAAAAAAGGAGAGCAAAACCTCACGTGCCTGCTGCGATACCTGCTTTTCTATCCGAGAGCTCAACACCTTACGGAGGCGCGCTTCAACGCCCGGTAAAACGCAGTTTCACAGACGGGGAGACCAATGCAGGGGAGGAGCCTCCGACACCGCATGCTCCAGCCCAGGGTATTTTCAGAGCGCCCTGGATGTCTTTTGGCACGCGTTCACCGAGCCGCAGCAAAGACTGCTTTTGAGGAATGGGATTTCGGTTTCTGTATGGGGTCAGAAGCAGCCGTGGGGGGTAGCGGGGAACAGGACTCTGCTTCATTTCAGCTCCGCACACTGAGCTGTGCACGAAGGAAGCGGTGTGACTGCAGCTTTTAAATTCTGCCGCAAAAGCCTCTAAAGAGGTGACGAGAAAAGCAGTAGTTTTACTGGTTTGAACGGCTGTAAGCTGGTATTCTGAGGAGCACTCCGAGGAAGTGTGGTTTCACCCGCAGCGGGGTTTTCCAGGAACCCCGTGTGCAGAGGCGGCACGTTGGGGATGCTGGACACGGGGCTCAAAGAAACACGAGCAAACCCACCGCTTCTGCAGGTAACCACCGCTACCGCTGCCTGAAGGAAGGAGTTAAACCACACAGGAAGGGTTAAAATGAAAAAGATCGCACAAAGGAGAAAAGCTTTTTAAAAGATCATAACCTGGCCATAACTCCACAACTGCCTCTTCCAGGAGAGTTGGGTATTTTTCAGGAGTTGGAACTCACTTTATCAAGTTCACAGAACTCAACTCGCTCTTCCTGGCTGCAGCTTCTGCCAATGGGGGAGACGTTTAACATCCCGTTTCGGAACTCAATGAAAGTGCCCCTGAAAAAGAATCGATTAATGAGACAGAAAGCAGATGAAAAACTGCTCAAAATGCTGAGTATCACAATGAACCGTCGCTTAATTCTGAAGCCAGCGGGAATCGGGTGTCTCCTTCGGCCTCACACTGTATGCGATAAACACCAACACGCAGAAACCGACACCTCTGGCGTCAGAGAGCCTTTGGGACTTAGAGTCCGGCAACTGCCACATGATCCTTGCTGACTAACAGCGTGGCTGGGTTTTAGAAGTGTGACTGGAGCATCCTGTCAGCCCCATTCTCAGACCCTGACCGGCCTGGCTGTCGGCTTTGGGGTGAAGTGGCAAAATTGAGCACGATCCGGGCAGCGTTTCTGGCTATCTTCAATAAAAATGCTCAATCAGCATTTCAGATCCTATGCTCCCGCTGGGACCTTGTCTGCGTACGCAGAGACTGAGCTCCATTGCACGGGTACGGTGTTCCCAAACCACAAAGTATTCATTTTTTGCTGAGCAACCTGCTTTACCTCTTGAGGCTCACCACTAACTGGCGGCGTACGGTGACAGCGAGATGCGCGTACGCACGTACCTTTTCTTCGGCAGTTTAATCTTCGCAATGTAACTCAGGCAGTAGTTGATGAGATCTTGAAGGATGTCCTCACCCAGGTGACCCTGAATGTTCTAACAAAATAAATACCGCTCAGCCAAGGGTCCAGCAGCTCCGAGTCTAAAAACAAGTCACAGGGGTAACGCAGGCACTGGATCATGGGGCACGGTTAGTACCGCAGAGAAACGTGCCTTCAACAAGCAGCTCACAGCTGATGCACGCGTGGTACAAACCAAAGGCTCTCATTTTTCTTTTTGGTTGTCTTTTTTAAAACCGTAATACCAAGGCCTCATTTAATATGCTCCCTGCTGTACCTGCTTTAGCAGGGAACAGCACGGGCCAAAGGCAGCAGCCCTAAACAGAACGCTGCGGTTAACGTCTGCTGTAGCCAGGCGTGAAGAAACGGAGATGCTCACTGCGGTAAACTGGAGACTGCTGCTCCAGTCTGCAATTTCAGCCAGGATCTCCTCTAGATGTTCAGTCTCCATCACTTATGCTGAGCCGACGACAGTGATTCGGGTATCGAGAATCGGTTGTGTGTTTGTAGTAATTTGGTGTATTTTCCTTCTAGCTTACACAACGTATCAGAACGCGTGCTCTGAGAAATTGATGCTAAAAAGCAGCTACAGGAGATCTACAAGAAATTTTCTGAACGCCAAGGCCCACCAGAGATCAGCTACAAAACACCACGTCCCGTGGGACCTCCAGGAGCCGAGGGCCTGGCCACACTTCCCACGGATAAGCCGAGGGAAGGCTCTTGCAGGGTTTTCTCCGCTCTTACTCCATCAGGCACTCCAGACCCCAACAGCTTTTGGTTTTGAGAGCAGCCCAAAGAGTAAAGCTTGAGGTGAAGATAATGATGACGTGAATCAGAGCACCCCATGAATGATCTGTTACAGAAGTAACGCCTAAAAACAGCAGCGGTTTTGGCCTTAATTAGAGGGGTGGTTATAGAGGACTGCATGGTAGCAACCAAGTAAAATCTTGTTCAAAAAATTTCCCATTCCTGGAAATGTCACACTTACCTGCTTGCTTAAGAATTTCCCATCTTTGTATGCTACCAGGCCGTTTTCTGGGAAGACGTAGTCAAATTTTTCAACCACTGCAACCAAACAAAAAGGTGGCCGCTTACCATTTCCCTTGTATTTCGAATGCAGAACGAACCTGCCCACTAACCGGGCTAAAGATCGTTAGGTCACACAGCGTGAAGGACTCGGCAGCGCAACGCCGAGCGCAAGACCACGGCCGCTCCCTCTCCTCTCCGAGACGAACGCACCCTCACGTCCCGGGGTCCCCTCCCAG